GTTTACTGGTGGAAGGTTTATCTTCGGTTGCCTTATCCTTCCTTTTCCATGTAAGAGCATTCTGCTCTGGGGCTGTAACCTGCAAAAAGGAAACTTTCTTTTTTCCTTTGTCAGTAGTGTTCACCTCAACTTTTTTATTGCAATCGTTTATCAGGTGCCCAAGACGGGAGCAGTGTGTGCAATAGTGAGGGAGGGGGGTTTCCAGTTCTATTGGCTGCCAGAAACCTTCAAAACCCTCATCCTCTAACCAAACCCGGTCAGGTAAGGAGTTGAGAAGATCAAATTCTACTCTTTGCATAGGTTTAAAGGATTGTTCCTAAATTGTGGCCTACTAAGTTCCTTGATCCTAAGAATAGCCCTGTAGTTCCTGAATACATTGAGTCTTTGTTAGAATATTCCAATCTCTCAAAACAAAGGGACTATTATTATTATCATTCACCCTTCACCACCATTTTCACAAGTCCTTCTGATCAGTAGCTAGTTTATTTGTGTGTGCTGTCACTACTTTGAGGATGTTGTGAATAATTTTGTCAAATATTTTAGCTAGAGTACAAAGATGTAGTTTAGGGAAGAATTTTCCTGGTTTAGTCTGCCTATTCTTTGAATATCCCTTTAACTACGTGTGCATGCTAATTGTTTTGATTCCGTGTGGTGATTATCGTAAGTCCTGTTGTTCAGTTTGCTTGAGGACGAGCAAAGGCTTAAGTGTGGGGGAGAGGGCGTAGTTTTTTAAAGCGGGGGGGGGGGGGGGGGGGGGGGGGTAGCTAGTTAGATAAAGTGTTAGACATTTGTTTTATTGCACTCGTTATTAATTGACTGTTAAAGAGTTGGACAATCTCTCAAGAGTCCCGCTTCGTGTACACGCCAGGTTACACGCCGGTCAAATTGTCTGTGTACAGACAATTTGATCGGCTACACAGACAATTTGACTGGCATTTCATGAAGAAAATTGATTTCCATATAGACAATAAAATAAATAGTTGTCTGTATCACAGACATTTTAGACCAGAATTTTTCATAGTGTCTGTGATACAGACAATTTTTTTTTTGTCTGTATGAAAATAGGTTTTTTTTTCATAAAACGCCAGTCAAATTGTCTGTGTAGCTAGTCAAATTATCTTTACGTAGACAATTTGACCGGCGTGTAACCCGTCGTGTAAAACTTGGTGTGTACAAAAGGAATTTTCCATCTCTCAATGTTTTGACTCATGGGTACATGAATATAATGAATAATGTGAGCAGAAAATGTAGAAAAGACATTTAGTTAATTAAACAAGTGATTTGGCCGTGGCACACACATACTACCTCTTTTCTTTCCACGGAAGTTGGTCAAATTTCATTTTTTGATCGTCCAAAAACAAATTAGCATTTTCATTTATAGTAATAAATATGTATTTAAAGTTATTTCCCGATCTCTCATTTGCAAAAATCACAACCACATAAATTTACTTCATTATTTACGTGCAAGTTAACTTTGACTAAATTTTATGGAAGAAAGAGAGGGAATATCATACTTCTCCTGTTCTTTAAAACTTTATCAACTTTTCTTTATTGGATGTCATATTAACTTTGCCACTTTCCCTTTTAAGTAAATGATTTTTGGTTCCGGTTAATTCTCTCTCTTCTGCACAAACCTCAACCACACAGTTTTTATTTTATTATCTCCGTGTTGGTTAAACTTGACAAAGAGCCTGTTTGGTAGCACGAAAATCGGCTGATTTGGTTGATTCTGCTGAAATTTATGAAGTTCTGGCTGAAATGGCTGCATTGGCTGATTCTGCTTGTTTAAGAAAAAAAATATTTTGAAAATATATTTTATTAATAAAATAAAGAAAAAATTATTTGTAAAAATAGCTCAAATAGTCATCTACAGTAATTTCAGCCAATACAGCCAAAAAAGTAACATCAACCTTACTTTTTCTGCTTATTACACAATTTAGCGCGCGAAAGCAAAAGTTACGTGGTTCCAAACAAGCTCAAAGTTTTATTTCTTTTACTGTCACTCTGCTGACTGAGTCACCGTGACTTACATCCTCCCATGTGTTCTGTCGGGTCGGGACGTGGGGCGCTTGGGGGTGACGATTCAACCTTTTGGATCAAAGGAGGTAGTATATGGTTTGCGCAAGTGGATATGATGATGTATGGAAACAGAAAAGGAAGTAATCAATTGTGATGATTACGGTCAGTGTCACATGCGAGCACGATGCATCTGCTAAGTATGCTTTTGCCCTTTCTGTCTTTCCTATTATGGATAAGAAAATAGATAACAAATGTCGGGATAATGAACGAAGGAAAACCACCCACAAGTCCTGACAAATCATATGCGTATGGTAAGAGACCAAATACAAATAACGCCGCTGGCTAGCTGCTGCTTACTGCATGCCAACTTGTGCGGTACAATTTATTACTCCCTCTGTCCCTAAATGTTGTTCCAACTTTCCTTTTTGGGATGTCCCAAAAAGAAGTTCACTTTTCCTTTTTGGCAAAGAATTTGTGGTTCACAGCATTTCTCTCTCCTCTGCACAACTCTCCACCACACAATTCCCACTTTCTTAATCACCGTGCCACTTTAATTTGGAACAACAATAAGGGACAGAGGGAGTATTAACCAAATATAGAATGAAGTGTTATTTCTCTAAAATGTCTTTGACTTTGCATATCATAATTATTCTTCACAAAATGTTGTAAATAGAGTGTAAAATCTAAGAGTTTTGTATATGAGATGCAAAATCTAAAAGTTTTGTACTTCGTATATGAGATGCAAAATCTAATATCACCCAAAAAATGAGGTGCAAACTCAAAATTTCCCTTATTATTAACCCATAAAAGGGAAAACCAAATATAGAATGAAGTGTTGTTTATCCAACCAGACAGGGTGAGGTTAGGGGGGTTTAATGCACCAAACCCCCCTGTGATTTGGAAATTCGGCGCATTAGCCCCCTGTGATTTAAAAAATGCGTCAAACCCCCCTGTGTTTTAATTAATCATGCGCCAAATCCCTTATGTGAACAAATTCAATTGTCAAATAAAAGAAAAGTGATTAACATTTTTGTATGATTCAGAGATTTTGACATATTTATTTGCATATTCAATCAAAATATTAGGAAATGTAATTTTCAAATCGTTAAATTTATTCATAAAGGGGGTTCTGTGCATGATTAATTAAAACATAGGGGGGTTTGACGCATTTTTTAAATCACAGGGGGCTAATGCGCCGAATTTCCAAATCACAGGGGGGTTTGGTGCATTAAACCCGAGGTTAGGGATAAAATGGAAGCCCCACCGTATATGTGCCCCGCCGCCGTATGTATCTTACCACATCAGAAGCACTTCGCTCACGCGCGAACTTTCTTCGCTGCTCCATGTCTGCATTAGCATGTCACATTCTCACTTTAACTCTAAGGGTATGTTTGGTTCAAGGTAATCACCTATGCAGGCCGGAATCTCATGCCCGGAATCTGAAATATCTGTGTTTGGTTCGTAGGTTTATTTTTATGGGGGGAATGTCACATTCCAAAAAAGAAGAGAAAGTAATAGGATGCCCCTCCATCTCAAACCCACTCAACTCTTAGGTTATCTTACATTCCTTGGTGGGAGTGAATTTTATTCCAAAAATACTCATTCTCATTTAACCAAAATGGTTTAAATAGCATACAAAGTATTTATTTTTTATTTTTCTTAACCTATCCGCATTGGAATTTTTTAAAACAAACCCATCCGTATTGGATTAAGAAATACAAAATGTATACTTTTGAATTTGATTTATTAAAAATTAATGAATAAATTACATATTTATGACTAAAATAAAGATTGTTTACAAAAATGTGGGTAGTGATTTAATCACTACTGATTAAATTACGGTAGTAATTTAATCATAATAACTTATATTGAACTTTTAAACTTAGATGATCATGATAACTTAATATAAGAGGAGGTGGTGTTATTATTAAGAAAAAAGGAGTTAATGTGGTTGATAGTGAATAATAAATTTAAAATAAAGTAAGAATGATTTAGAAGCTAAGGATCAAACATTAATTTTTTTCACTAGTGGTTGATAGTGAATTACCTTTAGTAGGAGTAAAATATAACATGCAACTTTTCCTTAAATAGGAGTCAATATCTAATATTTCCTAAGTAGGATCAACCATTAATTTTCTACCCCTAATCTAATTAATGAATTGCCCCCTTAAGTCCATGAATAATCAGGTCATTCTATTGGTGACATGCGGTCCATTGATTTTTTGATCGATGAAAAACGTAGGCTCCTATCGATGAAGACATTCTTTCTCGGGACCCTGACGATTGTAATAAGGGTATTACGAGAAAATATTTTTAAGGGCATTGAAGTAATTCACCAACTTTGTTGTATAATATATGATTTAACCAAACAAGTTAATGTCACATTCCTTTAGTCTCAACCAAACACAAATGGGTACAAATTGAATACATTCCCATCAATCTAACATACCCAGTAATCTGACATTCCCATGGTAATCTGACATTCCTTGAACCAAACATACCCTAAAGAGGGAGGACTTGGACTTCTCGCCCCCAAGAAAAACTTGTGATGTGCAAATATAGATATAAATATTTATAAATAATAAAAAATATATTGATATTTTAAAATCTACCCTTTCATATAATTTTGGGAAAAGTACGGAAAAAACACTTGTGGTTAGATCCTTTTTCAGATAAGGTCGTGTGCTTTATTTTTTAACAAAAATGCTTCATGTATTTAAACTCTGTTATCACAACAGGGTTCTGGCGTCTGATGTCGTTAATAGTAACTCCATTAAGAAAGATGGCCTAGAGGTCGTCACGTTGAGGCGCACTTCTCATTATTTTTTTCTAATTGTTCGGCCACTTTTGAAAATTGGAATTATTGTTCATCTTCTTCCTCTAGCGATTTCTAACGACATCATACGCATGGATCCTCTTGTGATAACAAAGTTTAAACACATGAACTGTTGTGTTAAAAAACGGGCTCAACCACATGTATTTTTTCCGTACTTTATGGGAAAAAGTTTATTTCTAGAATCGATAAAAGAAAGAACCAAATTGTTTACCAAAAATTTTAAGGAGACCCATATGATTCCCTTATAGACAGGGGTGGAGATAGGGAGAGGCTGGAGGAGGCCTCGGCCCCTACAAACAACAACAACAACAATATCCAAGCCTTAGTCCCAAAGGGATCGGCTAACATGAATCGATACATGATGTCACCAAAAGGAAAAGAAAGAAAATAAAGATAAAAAAGATAAGCTATTATAAAAAAAGATAATATAAAAGAGATGAATATACATATAAAAGATAAAATAAAAAGGATAAAGTAATATTTATATATAAGGATAAAAATATAAAAGAAAAAAAAGAAGAAAAAAAGAGGGGAAAAGATGATACAAGATCACTCCTCCACACGAATACCCGCCCTCCATTTTGCTCTCTTCAAAGTCATACCCTCATTCAATCCAAGAAGAAGCATATATCACTTCTGACGCCCCTAACCCACGTCTGTTTGGGCCTTCCTCTCTCTCTCTCTCTTCCCTACCTCTTCTCCACACCTCTCAACTCATCTGACAGGTGCATCACTCGGTCTTCTATGCACATGACCAAACCACCGTAGGCGCGACTCCCGCATCTTATCTTCAATAGGTGTTACTCCCACCCTTTGTCTGATTGTCTGATTCCTCACGCGGTCCTTTCTAGTATGCCCACACATCCATCGCAGCATGCGCATATCTACCACACTCATCTTTTGAATGTGACATTGTTTCACCGCCCAACACTCCGTGTCATACAGTAATGCAGGCCTAATTGCTGTCCTATAAAATTTACCCTTCAGTCTAGTCGGTATACCTCGGTCGCATAGAAATCCTGACGCACTCTTCCACTTCATCCACCCTGTTCTGATTCTATGGGATACATCTCCATCTAACTCACCGTCCTTCTGAATTATGGAGCCCTGACCCCTGCAAGAAAAAAATTATTAAGTATATATTATGTATAAATACTTTTAATCTATAGAAAATAAGTTGATATTTTAAACTTTGGCCCCTGCAATATAAAATTGTTAAGAACCAGCCTCCTCAGTCATACTTTTCTGGCTCCACCATTGCTTATAGAATCATATGGGTATTGTGACAAGATCATCCTCATTCATTTATTTAGTTGAGGCCCGTACTAAATAAATGAATGTGGATGGTGGTGCCATATTACCACAATACCCTATATGACTCCAAAATAGAGGTTCCATAAAACTTTGTCAGTTTGGACAAAACTGCTGCTGCTACTTTTTGCTTAAAAGAAATTAACAGTGGCCGGCCGGAATAGCTAGCTAGCTAGGCGACTTGACATGTCTCGTACCCATCCGCGGCCAAACGATTCCCATCACTGGAATTGTTCGTTACACTTGCACAGCTAATACGAGTAAATTAAAGACTTTTTTTCTAAACTAAGGCTAAAAAAATAATTAATTACAAAAACAAGGTTGGGTTAAAAATATTTATCAAAGTACTGTTGGAAAAATGTGTTGAAAATTGCATTAAATGGTCATTTTGGGGCAATTTTTTGAGTGGGGTCCACTTCCGATTTGGGTCAGGTCAAAGTGGTTTCGGATTGTCCTTGTTAAGAGCTACAATTCGATATGTGGTACGTTCAAAACGGATAACGGGTGAATGAGAAATTGATTCTCGAAATTTACCCGTTAAATTGAGAAAACTGGGAAAAAGGATGGGTTTCAAGTGTGTTATTTCCCACACCGGAAAACCCAAGGGATTTGCAACCCTTTATAAAGGGACTCCCCCCTTAAGGAGTTAAGATTCCCAAGGGTAAAGTCTCTCTCCACGCGCGTAGGGGGGGGCAAATCAAATCTCGAAATCGGAGAAAAAAAACCGCGACTTGCGTGCGCGGGCGACCTGCGGACACGAATGTCGCCCAAAAATCTATCTCTCAAGAGATACGATTAATTTTTGTGTTCTTCCCGAAACGTTTATGTTTTACCAGAACTGCTGCCCGGACAGAACACGTCTTCCGCGCATCAGAACTGCTCGACACGGGACAGAAGGCCTGGCGTCTTCTACTACGGAGCTCGGACAGAAGGCCTTCAGGTCTTCTGTTGCGAAGCCCGGACAGAACACCTCGAGGTGTTCTGTCCGTTACAGCAATAAATGTCCAACGTTCTTATCTTTTAATGCAGCGTTAAATGGACAATTCATGAACGATTCAATGTCCAACGGACTGGTCATTTGTAACACCGTCCCCAAATGTATTTACTTGTAAGTGAATAATGTATTGAACCTTGTATAATGGTTAATGAGAATTCGAAGTTGTGAATTTTTATTAATTATTTTGCGTGAATAGTAAATTCGCACGTGGGGCCCACACCGGGAGCGGGGGCCGCCCGATATTCCCGAGACCGTATATTTTATCCATCTTGGTCAATATAATATTTATATAGTGGTGGATAATTTATTGGTCCAAAGAGATGATATAGAGTTGACCGGTTGATCAAAAAGGCCAAAATACCGTTACTGGTAATTTAACGGATAAAAGCCCGAAATGAATTTCGGAGACTATAAATTAAGGTTGGGAAATTTATATTCATTATAAGGGTCATAATGATTAAGAAACACATAATATATTTTATTTGACCCGATAAAGTAAAATACAGTTAAAACAGTCCGAAAAATACAACTTTCAGGACCCATTGTACACATTGGGACACAAGGGGATGACCTCCCACATGAGTGGGGGCCACCCCACGTTTTTTTGTGCTAGAATGGACAAGGGGGAGCTGGGTTGACAAGAGGATGAGTGGAGGAGGTGCAAAGGGGCCCTTTGACCTCACTCATTGGCCATTTGAGACAAAACCAAGTCTCACAACCCATCCCCCTACCATATTTCGGCCATCACAAGGAAAAGAGAGAGGGGGGAAGCTTTTCAACTCCATACTCCATAGCTAATTCGAGCCCAAGCACGGAAGTTCCAAGGAGGAAGATTAAAGGGAGAAAAAGGCTAGGAAAAGTGAGAAAGATTAAGGTAATGACCTTGTATTAACTTTTCCTTCATTTTTTCCCCTACCCTATGAGATACATATCTTATGGAGAACCCTTGAGGTTGTTCTACATGCCAATAGTGTGGAATAATGGGTTGGGGAGTAGTTCTAAGTCCAAGAACGGACTTAGAAGCCAAACCGCGACCGGTTCACCGGAAAATAACCTTTTAAGGGTTATGTGTATTGATTAAGGTTTTATGATGTTAAAACCTTGTTAAGGAACTTGATTTAGAGTATCTTTGAGCTTAGCCGGAGTTTCGCCGGAGTTGGTCAAAGTTGGCCGGAGTTGGTCAAAGTTCACCGGAATTAGTCAAAGTTCAACTGCGGAGCGTAGAACACGCTTAAGCTCACTTAAGGTGAGGATGACCGACTATATTGCTTATAATTATTGGGTTAATTTCATAAGATTACCTAAATGAATTATATGTGTTTGGCATGATTTATTTTTAATAAAAATGCCTAAATGAGATTATTATTGTTTATAAGCAAAAATGCATAATATACAAATTTATGAATAAATTGTGTATGATTATGTGTTATGAATACAATGGTATAGTAGTTGTGTAGACTATAAATTAAATTGTGATAAATATACTTTTACCTCATGTAAGGAAGTCATGGAAGGATAAAAGTGATATTTTGATATTAGGGCCAAGTTATACTTGAATGTGGAATTAAATTGAAATATCCAAATTATTATGAATGTGCATTGGTTTATTAAGATTTAATGACTAGTATAGGAATACTAGTCGGGAATGTTAGTTCAATAGCTTTTGGGAGCTAATCCCAAGATTTTGGAGTTGAGTAACCTTAAAGGATATGTTTAAGGTGGACTTTATGAACTCAAGTTTCTTTTGGAGTAGGCCTTAAGGGTTACTCGAAATGGATGAAACCTAGACTAAGAAGTGGTTTAGGGATTAGTGACATGACTATGAGCCGAGCTCTAGCACGTGGTAGTATGACTATGAGCCGAGCTCTAGCAAATGTAGTGTGACTATGAGCTGAGCTCTAGCACAAATTAGTATGACTATGAGCCGAGCTCTAGCAAACGTAGTGTGACTATGAGCCGAGCTCTAGCACAAATCAGTATGACTATGAGCCGAGCTCTAGCAAACGTAGCGTGACTATGAGCCGAGCTCTAGCATGAAGGAATATGAGTTATTTACAATGAATAACATCTTAGATTGAGGGTCTTGGAAATTGAAACTTTGATTATACTTAGTATAGTTGTCATTGTACTTGTCAAATGCTTCCAAGTACTGACCTCTCCTTCACGGGGGAGGCCACCTCACAGTTTCAGGTAGGGAGTAGAGCTTGCTACTACCGCTCGTTGCTTCGGGGAATTCAAGGAGGAAGGCGGGGTTCGTGCTTCTCCTGTTTCTGTTTTGAAAACAATTTAAATAATGCTCATGGATATTATTTCGAATATTTATTTGGGGGCTTGTATGCCCGTGGTTGCCACGTGTGGCTTGAATATTTGTAATTATGTTTCCGCTGCTTAATTAAATATTTTACATTATGATTGTTTATGGATGTACTATGTGTGAATGATATTCCAGACGCCTTGTATAGTATGGATGTGTTGAACTGCGGTTGACTATTCGTACTGTACGGCGGATTGTTGACGTGTCCGGTTAGGTCCGGGGCGTGACATCATTGATGTCCAACTTCAGGTCCATTAATTCACCATTTGCACACAACAAATCCTCCTATATAAAGGCTGGCAGGTGGTTTGCAACAAAACACGATCTTACACGTTCATACACATTCCTCACGTATTTCTGAGCTCAAAAGCACCTCCAGCATTCCGAAAATTTCCTAAGTGTTCATACTGTGTTCTCGTTCGCTGGAACTTTTGTTTGTGTGCTCAAACATTAGTTCGTAGTCATCGTATCCTGGAAAACGATTGTTGCAATGCTCCTAGCACCGTGGGAGGCAACAAATACGTTTTAAGGACATCGTGCGTAGCACGAGCTTTGGCTAAATTCTGCTCCATCCCCTTTCTTGTTTTTCTCTAGTGATTTTATTTAATTAATTTATTTGATTTAATTTTCTTTATTTTCCGAAACACACGCAACATGTACTCGTGATTTAACCTATGGTTAACCGAAACACGCCGAATGGAATGGGGACTTTCGTTAGGAAATACGCAGCGCCCAAAGCAGCTGAAGAGAGAAACCATAATTGCTCATGAGAGAAAATTAAGGTGGGAGAACTAAGATAAAAAAAAAGGGATTTGTTCAAGAATACTACTAAATAAAAGGATTTGGACAAATATAGGATTTACTTCAATTATTTCCAAAAAACAGACCATACGGTAGACTCTTTTAAAAAAATGGGAAGGAAATTTCGCATATGCCCCGCTGATAAACTTTGTACGAACAGAAACTCTCCAGGCTATTTCCCACGTTCTACTTCTACGGATGTTAGCAAGGACAAGGGGTTTGTTTTGAGTTTTATAATCTTTTCCTTTTACATTACTCAATTACGATTTATAATTAATAATTGAACTTACTCCCCTTCAAAAATAAAATAATTGAATGATAAAAAAAAATTGAACTTACTAGTTACAATTATTTGTCCGATCATTTATAGTTATATAATTCGATCAGTTATAGTTACCTAATTTGATCAACTATAGTTACCTAAATTGACCAATCACAATTACTTAACCCAATAAATTACAGTTACCTGATCCGACCAGTTACAGTTATCTGACTCGATCAGTTAAAGTTACCTAACTTGACCAGTTACAGTTACCTGACCGGACGATCAGTTACAATTATCTGACTCGGCCAGTTACAATTACCTGACTCGACCAGTTACAATTATCTGACCCCACCAGTTACAATTACCTGACCCGACCAGTTACAGTTACCTGACCCGACCAGTTACAGTTACCTGACCCAACAAGTTACAATTATCCGACACGACCTATTACAATCATCTGACCCGACAAGTTACACTTACCTCCTGATTCAACCATAAACAACTATGGGAGAAGGACCAAAAATGACACTATCGTTTTTAATGAATCTCGAATTGGACACTCAGGTTTTTAGTAGACCAAATTAACACAAATTACAACTTATTGGTTGTATTTATGCCACCCACTAACCTTTTCCGCTAAACGGACGTTTCTGAATTTCGAACAACTTAAAACAAAGGAAAAAGGAAGTAAAAAATGTAATGTCTTCCTAATCCACCGTCATCTCTGCCATGCTTAGAGCTCTGAAAAAAAGGATATTACCTGTCCATGCTCTTCCCCAAAACATAATGCTTTCAGCACAAATGGATCCTCCAATAGCCTACGCCCGGTTGGGTTGAATTCTCCGATCTGAACCAATAAAAATGGCGAAGTATGGTTCTGCATCCAAGGACAACAATTCCCCTGGTAATTAATTTCTGGCTTTCAGTCTAGCTGCTAACTTCAGGGTTAGAAGAAGCTCACTAATGGCAAGGATTTTACAACCGGATGTCCCAAACCTAGTTAAGGAGAAAGGAAAGACTTAGTTTCTTCAAAGTTTAAGAAATCAGGGTTTGCGGAGGGCAATGAAGTCTTGTTGCATTCTTCTCTATCAGATTCACCAATTTTGACTTCTTCCTTATGGTTACATAAGATTAAGAATCTGTGTCGTTGCCTCAGGGGAGCTTCTTCGGGTAATAGGTATAGAGATAAGGTGGGTGGTTTGGGTGCTAGTAACTTGTCTAAGATAGGTACGAAAGAAGTTATGCCTTGTGACCTGGAAAGAAGAGTGAAAAACAATAGGAAAATCTAGTTGGGTGGATCATGGGAGCAATTCGGATAGAATCTCAACTGAGAGTGAAATTCCATAGAACATAGTCCCTATGGACGGAGAAAAGTAATGTTGCAGAATGGTGAACCTTCTTCTAAAGCAGGTGTGAATCAATTCATCAATGAACCTGAACCAACGTCCGTTTAACGGAAAAGGTTAGTGGGTGGCGTAAATGCAACCAATAAGTTGGAATTTGTGTTAATATGGTCTGCTAAAAACCTCAATGTCCAATTCGAGATTCATTAAAAACCTTAGTGTCATTTTTGACCCTTCTCCCAACAACTATCTGACTTAACCTGCTACCGTGACCATATTTACGAGTTATTGTTGTCTAATATGATCATTTACAATTAGTCGGCCCAATAAGTCCTGTTTCCCGTTCCGTCAGTGACCGCCATCGGTCACCATTGGCAGCCACCACCACTCGCCACACTGCCGGCCACCAATGTCGTTGAACCACTGCCGCACTCACTCCGGCGCCCGGCATTCCCAACCCGTCTTTAACCCATAGCGCCCACCATCTACCCCCGTCACTGCCGAGCCGGCCACCGCCTGGCCCGTCCACTGCCGAGTGCCGCATGCCGCTGCTGCACCACATAGTACCAGCTCTCAGTGGCAACGAAACTTCATAAACCTGTCAGTTATATGGTGACACCACCGTGACCAGGACATCGCCGCCGGCCCAGACACCACCTCTACCCCAAACACCGCCACCACCCTAGCCACCAAGCCGCCTGGAAACCGCCGCCGTCCCGGACACCACCTCCACCCCGGACACCGCCGCCACCCTAGCCACCAAGCCGCCTGGTTCGTCCCTGCCCCATAAGACCTGTCACTACCCCACAAACCCCACCAGTCCATCAATGTCCCACCAACATCCGCCCGCCATCCCCCAACACCCAACTGTGTAACAACTAGCCAAGGCCGCAGATCTGAATATTGAATGTCGTCGCCGCTATATTAATTCTATCCAGAAAGGAGAGGATTCGAAATCAGATAAGAAGATATAGCAAGGGAGAAAATGACGATTCGAAACTCAAATCTGGATTAACCCGGCCTAGCCGCGAAGAAAAACGATTCAAAATCGGAGACGAAGAAGACAGAGCAAAGAAGGCTTCGCCCCTCGCGGCAATCTGGAGGAGGAGTCGACGACCTGGAGGCGGAGGCAGCGACTCGTTGGCGATGACCGAAAGACGGTGGTGAGGCGGCGAACTGGATTTGGAGGCAAAGACCTGAAGACGGAGGCGAGGCAGCGCAGACCTGGCCTGGATTTGGAGGCAGAAGAAGTGTTCAAAATGCAGATGCCAATTGCGAAGGATAAAGGGGAGAGTCCGAGACGATGAGTTTGGTTATTGTGAGGGTACCGATGTCTATACAGGTTTATTTAGTCAGTTTTCTGTCAATTTTAAATTCAACCTTAATTTTGTCCGGAGCTAAGTCACGGGTCTTCTTTGCGTCATTATTTCTAAAAAAAACCCCTTTTTCTTAAAGCTTTTGTGTGTTTTAAATTTTTGTTCCAACTTTTTTGAAAATAATACCAAATTTCATAATTTTTATTTTCTTTCATATGACCCTAATATTATATATATAAAGTTTAAAAAAATTTGAAGATCATACCGAGTGAAAAGATCAGTTGCAATCATGCTCCGTCACTAAACCTAATTGTAAACCAATTCTTTTTACAAAAATGGGATTATCTAATTTGTTAATTTAAGTTCAAATTTTTTCATAAATAGATCCAACTGTTAAGAGCCCGTTTGGTAACACTAAAAATGGCTGAATCGACTGATTCTACATAAATGTATGAAGTTCTGGCTGAAGTGACTGTATTGACCGATTCTGCTTATTTATGAAAAATTATATTTAAAATACTTTTTAATAATAAATAAAGAAAAAGTTGTATAAAAATAGCTAAAATGATAATCTAGAGTAACTTCAACCAATATAGTCAGAAAAGTAACTTCAACCTTACTTTTCCTTATTATTGAAGCAACAACAAACCCGAATCATCTAGAGACGACGACTCACTATATCTAAACGGCCCCTTCGTGTTCTCTCCGCCCTAGGCTTTTTTGCATTTTTAACGCGTTTTAAACACTATCGTTTTTTTTAGTAAAACACGTTTAAAACGAAAGATAATGCCGGTCCGTTTAAAAAGAAAAACACTTGGCCTTTTTATTCAAATATTACTCTTAATTAAGAGATTTAGAATAAAGTGAGTTAAGTTTTAAAAGTCCAAAAATATGACTTTCGGTATACACCAAATCGCTGCACACCTAGGAACAAGGTCAATAATCTGTTGCACAGCAATCCATTTAACACCCGGTATAACTTAAAGGCTATTAATGAATTTTAATACAAAAAAAAATAGGAAAAAGTTTCTCTGGCAGTCCACAACAACCACCACTGCTACCACCGGCGCCGCCAGCAGTTTTGCCGCACCACCGCCCAGTGCCTTGCTCCGGCCATAGTGACCGCCGCTCAGTGACTTGCTCCGGCCATAGTGACCACCTCTCAGTGACTTGCTCTGGCCATAGTAACGTTGCTCAGTGACTTGCTCCGGCCATAGTGACCTTGCTCAGTGACTTGATCCGGCCATAGTGACCACCTTGCTCCGCCTAGTGACTTGCTCCGACCATAATGACTACCGCCCTACCCCGAATAGTGACTACAACCGTGCCTCTGCCAGAGACCATTCCGGCCACACAGTCACTACAACAGTTGCTGCCACCGCTCCGGCCAACCACCGCATCCCAATGACTCCGTCATTGTCAACCTCAACGTACCAGTGACTCTGACGTAACCAGTCCCACCCCAACCCAGTCCCCAGCCCCACAGCACCCTCCCCAGCCCCACAACACCCACCCCAGCCCCATCAACACTACCCTCCCCAGCCCCACTACACCCTCCCCAGCCGCACAACACCATTTCCGGCCCCGAACAACATTGACGAACCCCAGGTCCACCCACCAACGCAACAACACAGCCCCTCAAGCCACGCCCTAGCCTCCAGCCTCACCCCAGCCACCTCCCTACCCCTACCCCAACTGAGTCACCCAGCCCGACACCGTCTCATTCGTCCACGCTAGATCTGCGCCGTCGCACGAACTTAAATCTTAGATTGAAAAGGAAAAGCTCTGAAATTCGACCTGGAATCTCGATTGGCAACCAGATCTGCTCTATAACAGCGATGTGGTGGCGATTTGCGGTCAAGAAAGGTGAAGAAGAAGAATAAAGGTCTGGTTGTTGCAGCAGAGGCAAGTCGAGGCTTAGAGTCAGACCGGCGGAGAGGAGCCATGGTCGTGGAAGGAGAAAAGGTGCCTCGACCGGCGGCTGAGAGGACAAAGAGTCATGGATGGCCGTATTGAGAGTTAAGTGCCATGGATGGCCGTGCTGAGAGCGAAGCGCAATGCTTGTGCTGAGAGTGAATTGCCATGTCTAAGAGAGAAGGCTATGCGATTTTTTTTATAGAATGAAGGCTATGCGAGTGGTTGGGAGACGGAAAGACACATTTTTGTCAAAATGTAAATAGGTCATATTTTGAGAAATGGAAACCCTAATTGTGATTTCCGTGCCATTTTTTCAAAAAACTTCTATTTTCCGTTTAAAACAAATTTTTCCCGCATTTTACAAAAAATAGAAACATGAATTAATCAATTGAATGAATGCATTAAATAGTTTCAAACTTTCAATGCAACAAAGAAAAAGTTCCTCCTTGTGAACCTGTGTTTTTGTATTGTTCCAATACAATTACTCCCTCCGTATTTAGTTGTTCTCTACATTAGGTTTGGGCACAAAGTTTTAGGATAAAATAGTATGGGTAATGAATAGTGTTGAAAAAGTAGGAGACAGTGTGTAAAAGTATGAAAGAGAAGATAAAAAGTGGAAAAAGTAAGGGTAGTTGAATACTTTTAAAGGAAAAAACTTACCAAAAAGGGAAAGTGTAGCAAACTTTTAAATACATCGCGAAAAGGAAAGTGTAGCAAACTTTTAAATACATCCCAAAAAGGAAAGTGTAGCAAACTTTAGAATACGGAGGAAGTATTAAATATTACTCCATACAATTAATTGAATGACAGCTAAATCTAGCATCCTGAAATTAAGACTGTGACTTAAAATACTACTAGGTTTTTGATGTTTTCCAAACAAGCATATCAAAATTAAAGTTTTTATAAACCGGGCATTTTTTTTTTGTATAAACTTTTACACATAAACAGTAATAAGTGTAGCAGTCGCACAACTTTTCTCAGATGTTATATGTCATCGTGATGAAATTGATGAGTTTAATTTGAGTGTTATTTGATACTCCCTCCGTCCCATTTATATTGTCCCGTTTTACCTTTTCGGGAAGTCCCACTTAAATTGTCCCATACAATATTTGACAAAGTTTGTGTGGCTCTAAATCATTCTTACTTTATTCTTACTTTATCAATTAATATCAACCACACAAACCCACTTTTCTTAATAACCGTGTCACCTTCTTCCGTCCCAATATAAATGGGACGGAGGTAGTATCATATAAAGATAATGATTTTAACTTAGTCTCATTCTATTGTTGTTATGCCTTATTTTTTTACATTAGTTTGCAAAATTATGTCTTGAAATTAATTACTAAGGAGTATTTTTATTTTTGTCATTGACTTATGCAATTATAAACTATTATTTTTATGTAGTAATGGGATTTGCTAATTAAATATGTGTGTATTGTTATTTCTTTTTACAATACATGTTATTTTGTGAAGTATATAATTTAAATGTTCAAAATAATACCTTGTATCTTTTGTCCGAATTTTTGTAACAAATACCGTATTATGCACGTATACGCATCTACACATTTTTATAAAAGTCAACGTGTTTTTCAATGAATTTTGACTGTTGTTTCATTCATGTTACCGAATAAAACGTGCACGTATTAAACCTCATTTATTTCCC